AATTAGTTAATCACAATGATCGATTGTTACTAAATTGTTAGTAGATGTACTCATACATAAATTGATTAATCTAATGATGAAAATACAATCATGATTAATCATTATTACTAAATGATTTAATTGTTTGATTGTTGCCATAATCATAAAATTTTTAATCACAATTATTAAATTTTTACGTCAGTGGAACCATTAGATTAATCATTGAAATCAATTTACTCACAATGAGAAAACAATTAACAGCACCAAAAGGAAACCATGATAATCATGATTAAAATGAATCAAATTGTTACAAAAAGACAATTAAATTGACATTAATCATATGGCGAAACAATCAACGATTATTTTTGGTTTGATTAGTAATCAAAAGGTAAATCTAATTTTCTTAATGATTAAAATCACAATTAAGGTGAGAGCAATTAGTTAATCATTTAGACGGTGATAGTATTTAAATCATCTCCATCATCATCATCATCATCTGATTACTTTTGATTGTACTGACTGATTGTCCTTGAACCTTTTGATTGTTGTTGTTAATTGTTGTTATGTTTTCATCAATTGAAATCATCTGAATGATATTACAGAAAATAATAGACACATAAATAGACAGTAATCATTTATTATCATCATTATCATCATTATCATCATGAGTTGTTTACCTCAATTTGATCAACACTTAATTTCATAATTTAATTCAGATTGTAAATCAAGGTTAACACTTGTTTAATTGTTTAGCTGCGTTAACATGTTTACTAAATTGTAAAGTGAGTCTATCATTAAGCTATCATAATTTGAGGTTTAATTGTTGAACAATTTGTATTGATCAAAATAATGGAAAACTTTTCTTTCTCATTTAATTTACTTTCTGTGAGTTGGTTAAGTTAATTATTTTGTTAATTGTCACTGTTAATGATGATGATGTTTACTTAAAACCTTTTGATTGTCAAGTGTCAACAAGTTATCAATGATTAATGATTAATATGTAACAATTAATTGTAATCCTTTCACGTGTATTTCTTAATTGTTGATGAGATTTGGTTTTTTTTTCATTTAACTTTCCATAGTTGATTTGAATCATCATCACCTGATGTTTGATTAGTAACAATTTAATAATAATAATCATAGTGATTAACTTTTTTTTCACATTTAAAGGGTAAAAATAACCACTGATTTGATTGTTGAAAAGTTAATTGTGATTGATTGTGAACCGAGAGTAGGAAAAATCAACGACGTTTATTGACAACAATTAGCTAATTTGATAACTATCGATATGGGTATTAAATAATTACCACCATTGATTAGTTTACTAATGAGTTGATTAGGATTATCAGAGACAATTAATATCATCATTAAACTAATCATTAGAAATGGAAATTGAATTGAATAACAATTTAATCAAACCTTGAAATGGTGTTTACAAACAATCAAACTTTTTAACAGGCAAACAATTAACTTAATGTTAACAAAGAAAATTAAATTGTTAACAAAAAGTTTATCACTTAAATCAATCAGAACGAAGTTAATTGAAATCAGTGATTAACAATTTGATTTAATAACAGCTTAATTGTTATCAATGATTAAATCATTTGAATAATTTTCATCGTTCCTATTACATAATAATAATAATAACCTCTAATGACCTTGTATTCAATTGTAAACATTTAGACAGAAACAATTAACTGACAACAATTAAACTTGCAAATCAAGGGTTAGATTATAAACTACGTTCTTGATTGTTGTTAATTGTGATTAGAATGACTAACTAATCTATGGCCACTAATTGTGTAGCTAAAAGCTACAATTAACTTGTAATTAATTTTTTTGTACCAAACAAAATGTGCCAAAAATTAGCAATTTAATTTAATTGTTTGCAGATTTAAATTGTTACCTGAACTTTGAGTTAAACATTTAAGATGATTAATTTCATCGATAATCAAAAACTTTTAGTTAATTAATATACACATGTAACAATTAGCGGGAACAATTAACACTTAAACATTAATATTGTTGACAAATTATTGAGATAAATTGATAACAATCAGTTAATTGTGATGAAAAAAGATAAGAAAAAAATTAATAACATAATTACAGTGATAAAAATAAAAGTGAATAATAATAACATTTAAATCATGGTAACAATTAAAGGATTAAAGATTAAAATTCAATGATTAATGATTAGTTTAATGATAATATAGAAAATAATTTACAACTCAATTGAAGGTTAAATGATCAGGTTAATAACAATTTAATTTTAATCACAATTACAGTTGATTACCATTTGATCACATTGTGTTAATCAATATAACTGTTCATTAAGTTCTCGATGTATAAATTGATTGTTCAATTGTTGATTATTATCATTGATATAAATTTCGTATTGAAACTTGATTATCCTTCATATTGACAAGTTGATATTAATGTTTAACCACAACAACAATTTAGTTACAATTTAATTGTAAATAGTGAAAGTTAAATTAGAGGCGAGGATAAGAAAGGCCTTGTGTCTTTGTAAGAGATTAACAAGGTTATCGATAATCTAACCAGATACAGAATTAAATGATTACCTTAAAAAATTATTCTCAGAATCGGGCGTCGATCGATCTATGTACCAACAGAATCGAAGTGAAGAAAACGAAAAAAAGTTCTAACCTTCGTTGGTTCGATCTAAATTTTTCTTTTCTTTTCGTTTTCTCCTCGTTTTGACCTTTTCTCAGCCACGAGAGAGAAACTTTCGATTCGAGGTCACTTTTGGTAAGAAGAATAAATGAACTATAATAATTTAATCATCGAAAAAATTATTCGATTACCTGCTGAGTTGTTCATCATCTTCTTCGAACTGATGATTAGTGATGAGAATTATTTTTACTTTCGAAAAGTTTTTCTTTCGTTTCCACAAGTTCATTGTTTGATTCGATTCCAAGGATAATGTTCAAACCGAGCTTTCGATCAAAACTTTACGGAAATTATCGTGTACATTATTAGATGTATTTTCTAATTGTGTTGTTAATTGTTGAGAACAATTTGAGGGGAAACAAGGAGATTTTGTCGAATCAAACTTTTCAGTTCAACGAACTTTTCGAAAAGTTTGAAACTTTTGACAAAACTTCAAACGAAAACTCTAAATTAAAATTCGTTGAAAGGTTTCAATATATTGGGAAAATCTATGTAACCTTAATTGTAACAATTACGATTTGACAATTGGCTCGCAAATTAATCCAAGCAATTAAATCACTGTGTTGGTAATTTATTGTTTCATCCAAGGGCTTAAATCACTTCTTGACCGGATAACAATCAACTTTTGTGTTGGTTTAATATTCAAGTTACTAAGATAAACGTTTCCTAATCTAATTTAATTGTGAACAATTAAACTGATAATCAAACAATAATAATAAAATGAACGTAACCTTGGGTTTTCAACTGGACAAAATTGTCAACTAATTGCCGGTTGTTAACTGATGCATTGATGGTTTTTTTAATTGTTAATTAACGCTCACTGTTTATTTTGGATAAACCCATGAAATTAATTTGTTAATTGCTTATTGATTGTTGAAAAATAATGTGACAAAAACAACAATCATTTGTGTACCAAAAATGATACATTTAATTGTTGATGATTATATGAGGGATTGTGAGTGTCAATTGAATTTAATTACAATCAATGATTAATTGTATGAATAATCCGATGATAACAATCAGGTTCAGTCTTTAACTTATTTACAATTAAAGTTAATTGTAAACCTGTTCAATTTGGCCTCGTCACTGAGCACACAATCAAAACAAATTGGTTTAGTTGGTTTGATGATTCAAATCATTGTGATCATAATCAATTTTAATTCAGTTACACGAGAGACAACATAACCTTTCAATTGTAATCATAATTAACAATTGAATATCAATTTGTCTGTTTCCGGATAAATTGCGATTAATTTAAATCATGTTGATAACTTTTACCATCATATTTGCATAATCAAAATGATTGCCAACAATCAACAGTAATCAAAATGTTACTTTACACAATTAAAACAACAATCAGCCTCATCGTTTCAATATCATCATAGTTAATTGTGATTATCATTTACTTAATTCATTTCCTGAATCTTGTATTCAACATTTAATTGTTGATCAGTTTTACTTGAAACTTTGACAATTGTTAATAATAAACAATTAATGGAAACTTTTTATCACTTTGACCAAAAACTGGATTAATCAGATTAACCAATTCATTAAATCAACTCAACAATTAACATCGACATGGTTGATTAATTGTTGTTAATCTGGTTTGAACAAGTTATTATCATTGATTATGATAATTAAAGTTATTTCAATAAGGTTGACAATCGTAATCAAACTCAATTGATGTTGATTAAGTTAATTGTTGATGGTTGGGGAAAAAATCAGTTTTGTTTTTGTTTAATTGATTAAAAATAATTGTTACCATAATTTGACTAACCATTGATCAGATTAGAAGTTAATTGTTTGGATTATTTAAGTAACAATTAAGGTTTGCAAAAAATTAAGATTCAATTAAATTTATAGTTAGTTTAATGACTTGGGTCACTTTATTATGTTGACTGTTTTTGTTTTGATCACAATTAAATCAACCTTTTCGATAGTAATTAAAGGTGACCGTGATTTAGTGTAAATTATTTCCTTTTTTTGTCAATTAATTGCGGATTAAATTGTCAAATTTGTTGAATCAATTTTTTTCGATAGTAACATTTCAATTGTATTATATGAACCAATTGTCTTGAAAGTCGACTTGATTTCATTTGATTGCTATTTAAGTTTGAGATGGTAAAAGTTGATTAGGTCAATGGTGACAAAAAAACTTAATGTCTAGAGGTTGGAATTAAATTTTGATGCTAATGGTTAACGTTAGGGTGTTTCAATTAAGAGATGTAGTGATCATGTTTGAGTATATAAAGTGATCGACTATTGGAATCAAAAGTCACAAATTGATTAACCATCAAGATCATCTAGTGATTTAAATCTGTTAACCATTTATATTCGACTTGTTCGTTGATTTAAGTGAAAATGAAAGTCGCTCTAATACTCGTTGTTGTTTTCTTTGCCTTCCAAATGTCATCGGTACTTTCAGCAATTCTCGATTCCTCCTTGAGCTCCAATAAGCCTTTGCCATTCAAGTGAGTATCTTGTAGTCGTTCATGCTAATCAAATAATAATTAGATCAGATGAACGAAGGGAAAAACATAGTTGCTAAAATGATATGATTTTCTAATGTCTTATTATCTGGTTGGTTGTAGCTTCGAGATAAAACCTTTACATCATCATCATCGTTGCAAGTGTGAAGGTAAGTTGTGATTACGTTAAGATCATCAGATGGAACGGAAAAACTGACCAATTGTTTATTTTTGTTTTTGTTTTTCGATTCAGAGGAGCACCATTATCACCACCACAAATACAAGGATCATCACCACAAGCACGATCATGGTCATGACCACGGTCACGATCATGGACACGATCATCATCATGGTCACCATCATCACCATGAAGGCGGTTGGTGGTAATCTCCAAAAGACCAGGAAACATTGACCCAACAGGATTTGTCATCTTAATTTATATTGTATACAAAGTGTAAATAGTATTCATCAGTAAATCATCTAATATATTAATAGTACTTGAATTGAAATCAGAAATAGATGAGGTCAGATCGAAAGAAGAATGTTCCGAATTCGAAGGTTCCTTGGGGCTAATGCTCGAGCAAAAGAATCTTAGTTATGAGAGTTCGAGCCATTTGAGGTTAACTGATTCCAACACCGAATTCTTGGCAACCATTACAAGAATAAGAAAAATTCCATAGTATTTTCCTTCCCTCCCTGGCGAGTCCAATCAAGAGTTTTAGCTCCATAAATTAACCATTTGTAAATAATTCCTGTTAAATCTGTTAATAAAATTGAATTTATATTAAATAACATAAGAGAATCAAATGAATTATCGATGAGATATCTTACTCTGATAAAGAAAGACACTTAAATTCGCATCTATTAATAAATTGACTTTCGATTGAAACGGATCAACGAAGTTCTTGTTAATAACATTCGATTGTTCGTTTTTGATTGTTATTAATCGGTTTCCAAAGCTCTTTTAGTTTTAGCTTAGTTTTGGACTTTTAAGACCAAATCAAATAGAAATCTTGGACCATAAGTTGAATATTCTATGGTAGAGAAATGATTTACGTTTTCAATCACCAAGAAATTTGAGTATCGATCAGTGTCCAGATCTTTTCATAGATGATCCCATTAGTTGGGGTTCACTTTTTAAGAACACTTTCAATTGAGGCAACGGCCAAATAATCCTGACTCTCAATTTCTTTCTGATAGTTGATTAACATTAACAAAACTCAAATCCATAGAAAAACTTCAAATTAACATTGATCAAAGGAACCAAAAGTTGTCAAAAAAATTGAATCTTTTTCCATTAGTCTGTTTATCCACCAGTTTCCATGGTAACGAGTTTTCTTTTACAATTATTGTTAACAGATGGCGATACTTTCCTCATCTGTCAAATTTAATCACAATTAATTTTGATTGTTCATTGAGAGAGTAAATGTCTTTTTTTTTACTTCACAATCCGAATATATTTAATTGTGTTTAAATCAATTGAAAAATTTTTCAACCCACACGAATCTGCCTCATAATAAATCCAAGTGATCATCTTTTTACCTCGTGGTTATGATCCATCTTTAATTGTCTCCGAGTTTATTGATCTGTCAACAATTAGAATTAAAAAGAAAAGATTATTAATATTGTCAAAGAAAAAAAAAGCAAATCAATTGGAAACTAAATTAACAAAGAAAGTGAACATGTGAATAAAACTAATTCGAACACAAAGAAACTAATTGATTTAATGATTCTGATCAATTCTGTATGAACTTTATCTTTCACTCACAACTTAATTGCCGATAATTTAACAAACTATCAACCCTGAGGTATTTGATCATCTAATCAAAATCAATTAGAATAACAATCAACATATAATTTCATTTCGTCTCAACAATTGACAAGTTAATCATTAGGAGAATACAGGTAATGTCAACGATTTCTTATCAATTAGACCTTAACTTTCCAATAATCACAATCACAATTAATGATAAATCTGAAAGAAAAATTGATTCCAACCAAAATTACAAACCTTTTATATTAACCGTTACTATAACAATTCATCTTGGTAAGATTTGAGATTTATAATTGTTTACTTCACAATTTATGGTTAATTTAATCGCAGTTAAACCAATAAAAAATTAACCATCACAATCTACCGTCAATTTGATTATCACTATAGGTAATTTACCAATTCTGTTAACAACCGAAAATTAATCACAGGTAATAAGACACAAAATCATCTGATTCCAATAAAAATGCACAACAGGTAATTAAGATGAAAGTAACAGCAATTAACCCAAATCACAATTAAGAATAAACAAAAACAATGTCCATATGATTTAACCGGTTTCCTTGTTAATCCAACAAAAGAGCAAAAAAAAATCCAAACAAACAATCAATCTAATCAATTCAACAGTAAATTGATCATTTTAATCAACATTTTACAAACTTAATTATCTTCACAATCCAGAGGTTGATTAATTACTTTGATAGATTAAATTAATAATTAGAATCACAATAAAAATAAACAGTTTCAAGTTACATTAGAAAAGAAAATGAGAAAAAGCTAATCAAGAGAATAGAAAAGAAATAGACAAAGAAAGAGAAGAAAAGAAAGAGAGGAAACAGTTGATCAAATTTCTTTCTTTTTCTCTGTCTACTTGATCACAATTTTGTTCTCTTTCATTTTAATTTTCTTCTCTTGTGTTTCTGTGTCTTTTTTTTCTGTTAATTGTTATCAATCTTTTTTTTCGATTATCATGGTTACTCAATAGTCACAATTATCTTAATCGTCAATTTGTCAACCATCTTCTTCTGTTTATCCCTTTTTCCATTTTCCAATCAACTGGATTAATCATCAACCTCAGAGGAAATTAAATCTTCTCTTTTTTTCCTTTGGTCTCTCATCTCCTCCATTACTGTACAACATACGATTCGATGTATAGTGATGTTCACCTTCACGCTTTGAACTTAAGGTAATTGTGTGTATCCATTTTAATTTTGTATCTTCTTCTTTTTCTCGTGTTCTAATTGTTAGTCAATCAATTAATTGGTCTCCCTCTTTGCTTTACTCGTGTGTTATGATTGCGTCTTTAATTAGCTTGTGGTGTTTTTCTGTATCTTTACATCTTCAATTAATCTAATGATTTTTTCCTCTCTCTGTCTCTCTCGTAATTCAATTGAGCTTTTGATTAACCAATTAATCCAAAATGATTTTAGGGCGGGAAGAGATACAACCAATCAATTGGAATATTCCTTTTTCGTCTCTTGATTATGGGCTTCATTTTTCTCTAACATCATCAGCTCCTTCTCTTCTTCTTCCCTGTGTTATTCTTTTCTCCTTTTCAAATAATAATTCCCTCTCTTTCACCCTGAATCTCTCTCCTTTTCTCTCTCCGAACCATGATTAACTCTAATTCATTCTTGGTTCGGGATTAATTCCATCTTCAAGAGTAATATGATTGATTGTGTCTACTCTTTGATTGTGATTTTCTTTTTCTTCTGTTGGTGTGATAATAGTTGATTAAACGGTGAAAATGATGGAAACTGCTTTTTCTCGTAAACCCTCTAAATACATGTCTTCTTTTATTCAGATGGTCAAGAAAAAAGATGGTAAATTACGATTTAAATCAAATGAAGCTCAAACCGTTCTGGTCATTTCTGGATACTTCAATGATGCTCGAGAGCTGATAGAAGATGGAAAAAATGATCAGCTGATAAGTTTACTTGATGAAGGAAGACTCGGTGTCAATGATGTTGGAGAGGTAAGTTTTATTTTTCTTTTCCAATTCCAAGTTCAAAATCTGACTTATCATCTTCTAGGCTGGAGGTATGAGTCTTCTCATGGTCGCTGCAGAATCTGGTAACCTTAGAATCGTCCAAGAACTTATTCGAAGAGGAGCTGATCTAAACTATCAAGATTTGGTGAGTTCTAATAGATTTGTTTCATTTGCAAATTTCCAAGAATCCAACTGAATAATCTCAATCTCTTAATCCAATATTAATCAACTAATTGTAGGATGATTGGAATACATTAATAACTGCAACAAAAGAAGGCAATCTGGACATTGTCACTGAATTAGTCGAGGCCGGAGCTACTCTAGATGCAACTGATATGGTAAATTTGTTGCCTTTTCCATTCAATATTGATATGCAATTATAATCTTGTTCTAATTAAGCCTCATTCGATATTTTCTCTCCAATTAATCAGGGAGGATGGACACCATTGTTATGGGCTTCTTACAAAGGATGTCTCGATATTGCAAAAGTATTACTAAAAAAAGGAGCTTCAGCCAATGTCTTTGATAACAATAATATGACTCCATTGATCTATGCTAGTGGAAGAGGTTTTCTTGAGATAACATTAATGCTACTTGCTCACGCAGCTAAACCTGATACTCCTGATAAGGTTTGATAATTGTCTCCCAAGGTACTTGAAATGTTTTTATTTGTTAATTAATTATTGTTAATTAATATTCAATCAAAACAGTATGGAACCACACCTTTAATATGGACCTGTAGAAAAGGTCACATTGATATTGCACAGAAACTTTTAAAGGCCGGAGCAACAGTCGATGCAATTGGAATGGTAAGAAAATTGTTGATTCATGATTTTGCTTGAGAAACAAAAACTTCAACTAATCAATTCTTAAAAGTCGAGGTAGGATATTGATTGATTAATGTGATCACTATCTCACTAATTATTATTATTAACTTACAATTAATTACCGGAAAGAGTAATAACAAGTAGTCTTGCTAATTAGAGGATAAATTGTATTGTTAATAGAAAAAATTATATCATATTTCTGATGTTCTGTTTCCATCATCTCATTTTTCTATGATGAATTTTTCATTATCAGGAAATAATTTGTTACAATCGTTTTCTATTTTTAATTTAATTTCCATTCTATTGCTCACAGAAAATTATTTTTTTCCTACACTTCTTTTAAACTTCGCCCTTGTTTTAATCAGAAAATCCCATGAAATAACTGGTATCAGGATGGAATTGTTTTAAATGTTTCCATTTCTGTGATACTTGTTATCCAAATTTTACTATGAGTTAATATCAATTCAATTAATAGGCATTCGTCTTTGTTATTAGTATTTTAAAGCTCATCATTTAATTTTGAGTTTTTATCGAGTGTGAATCTTGATTAACTTCTCGACTGAACTTTTCATCTAATGTTAAGATCTGTCAAATCTTTTTCGGTAATTAGGTCACATTTGGCAGTTTCTGCAAATGACGCAGGCTCATCTTCGAATATGCTAATTATAATCAACGAAAATTTCGCTTATCTTTCATCATGTAATCACACAGCTAATATTAGCTCGAGATTCGAGTACTCAATGTATCATTAGGATGAAGGTTATCAGATGAGAAATGATTACTTTGTTAATTTATTCGTTTACCTTGAACTGTTTTTATTTGCGCTAATCACAATTCTGACCTTTTCTTTTGATTCTCTTGCAGTATGGTTGGACTCCGTTACTTGTTGCAGTTCGTGGAAACTTTGAAAATCTTGTTGATTTGATTATAACATTCAAGCCAAATGCAAACGCCTGTGATGCCGATGGTTTATCAGCACTTATGATTGCAAGCAAAGGCGGAAATATCAATATTGTCAATGCTTTATTAAGAATCAATTCTTATGTTAATCTAAGTGATCGTAATAGTGACACAAGTCTTATTCACGCCTCTAAATCTGGATATGTTTTAATCGTTGAAGCTTTAATTAAAGCTCATGCAGATGTAGACCATCAGGGAGCTGTGAGTAATCAACTTGGCAATGAATAGAATTCGAAATTCCTGATGAATCAACTTGTTTCTTTTTATCATAGGACAAGAAAACCGCCTTATATTGGTCAGTGGAAAAGGGTCATGTTGAAGTTGTTCGAGCTCTTCTCAAAGCAAATGCAAACCTTGAGCTTGCGACTGAGGTATGGACCTTTTTAGGGTTAATTTCGTTTATTTCATCTCATATTTAGGATGGAAACAATAATGAATTTTTTTATATCATCTCTTTAGGATGGCGATACACCTTTGTTGAAGGCAGTTCGTAGTCGTCGTTTACCAATAGTTAAAATGTTGATTGATAAGAAAGCTAAAGTTACTGCTTGTGATAAGGTTAGTTTTGAAATTACCTAGAACTTATCTAGAATTTAAGAATCATGAAAAAATGAACTTTCGATCAAATTTAATGACTAATTTATTAATTAATGCATTTCCTTTGTCTTATCGTTAGTTTGGAGATACCGCTTTACACATTTCGATTCGTGCTCAATCGAAAACGATTGTTGAATTTCTACTACGAAATCCTCGAAATTCACAGTTACTTTATAAGCCAAATAAACGAGGAGAGACCCCGTTCATGCTTGATAATACCCACCAAAAACCAATTCTACCAACACTTTTCGGTGCCACACCTTCAAGCCGTCGTGTCTTGGAAAAAGAGACTCAACTTGGTTATGATCTTTACTCTTCAGCTATCGCTAATTTACTTTCAGAACCTACACTCAAACTGCCAGTTTGTGTTGGACTATTCGCTAAATGGGGAAGCGGGAAGTCATTTCTTATTGGTAAATTAAAAGATGATCTCATTACTTTCACTCAAGATTGGAACATAAGTCCAACATTCAGATTTTCGTGGTCCTTATTTTGTGCAATCTTTATGTTATCAATCGTTACTGGTGTTGGAACTCTTGTCGGAACCAATGGAAGACAATATTTTTTCGGTATAATTACAGCGATTGGTATTTTCTTCTTGTGTTATTGTATATTCGGTGAGTATACATAAAATTTGTGGACTAAAAGTTTTCATCTTCTAATTAATTCGCTTAAATTCAATCTAATTAGCAATCGTTTATTGTGGACATTTACGTTACGATTGGTCTATCAGTTCAAATATACGAAGTCGCTCTGATCGACTTAAACTTATCATTCAAGTTTGCTTTGGAAATCCTCCCATGTTAGAGGTTGATCAAGTTTCAACATTACCGGTTCGTTTCTTATTCACTGAAGCACCAGTCAAAATTTCATCTGATTATGGTGTCTCACAATTAATCACTGCAATTCTAAATTCTTTGTGGCAATCAATGGAAAATGAGCTTGGTTTTTTACCTGTTCATCTATACAAAGTCTTTCACCCTAAACATGGTGGGTCATTGAATTTCAGATAAACTATGGATCCTTAAATTTAGTTGATTAGTAATTAAGATTTTGTTTACTCTCTTATAGTCTCTGGCCTTACTTGGAGATGGAGACGCATTTGTATGGTGCCTACAATATTTTTGATTATCTTGTCATTTTTTACTTTGGCCATTCTTTTAATTCTTTATTATGTTGATAAAACTGAGCCTTTTAAATTACATCCTGTTCTCAGTTATGTTTTGGTGGCTATCGCGAGTATCACCGGATCCTGGATTGTTTCCAACTTCATTATACCTTTCAAAATAATCAGAGAACTTGTTTTTCATTCGAAGAAAAAAACTCGTGAAGAGCTTAAAAAGGATGTTCAACTTATGCAATCGTGTATAATGTGTTTAGATTCATTTATTGGTAAAAGACAAAGTCGCCTGGTCATTATTTTGGATGCATTGGAATCGATTTATGAATCTGATCGGTTGATTACTTTTCTCGAGGGAATCAACGATTATTTCATCAATTTTCAAGTTATTAATGCAAATCGTTCATTATCACCACCCTTTGTTTGTATCATGACTTTGGATCCTCATCATCATGTAACATCTAAATCAAAGGAATACTTAAAGACAATTGTTCATCTACCTTTCTACTTACAAAACTCTCAACTTCGAAAAGTTAAAATTGCTCAAACCACCGTGTTGAATAAGCCCGATTATCGATCATCGACTACATCACTGGTCGAAGCGATCGCTGCAGCACCAATTCCTCATCCTTCTAAAGGGTCAACTTCTGGAATGATAAGATCAAAATCAAAGAAAATTTCTAATTTAAAAGCAGCTGATTCAGTAATTAGTCTTAGTGGACACGGAGGAGAATCCTTGACCAAAGTTCTGTTAACTGATGATTACTTTAGTGATGTTAATCCTAAATCGATGAGACGGATTATGAACATTGTTTATATCCAAGGTCGTCTTTTAAAAGCATTCAATCTAGACTTCGATTGGCATCGACTCACTATTTGGGTTAATATTACTGAACAATGGCCCTTGCGTGCTTCCGCTTTGATAGCTTATTGGGACATCACTGAAAATAAATTCAACGATGATTCAATTCCATTGAAATCTTTGTATGATAAAGTTTCACCAATTTTACCCCAAGATCCTGTTCTATTATCTCGTGATAATGATGAAAAGAAATTGAATATTTTTCTTTCCTATCACCATAACTCATTGACCCTTGGTGACCTTAAAACATTTGCGCCTTTCACAATCAATTTAGATCCTTATCTGCGTAAAAATTTAACCGAAGCTTGGACCGATTCAAATTCAATTGCACAACTTGATAGGCCGATTCAGAACCCAAATGCCGGTGACCGAAAGATATCAACTGGAACTCTACCACAGCCTAGTTCATCTGGAAACATTTCCCCACACAAACTGCAACTTATGCATTTAAGCGTCGACGGAGTCATTGCAATGTTAAAACAAATCGAAGCCTTTGATCATTCACAAATCGACAAATATGGTAAAGCCATTCGATGTAACAATATAAATGGTCGCGTTCTATCAAACTGCTCTTCCGAAGATCTAAATGACCTTAAATTGGTTCTAGGTTTCTCCTTTGGAGATTGGTTACTTTTTAAAAGTGTTCTTATTGATGGTCGTTTGCCGACACTTCCGCCTTCAGTCCAAATTTCTGGAGCCACACCAACATCAGGTTTACCACCAGGAAGTGAATATCAATTGATTGAAGGTCGACTTAAAAGTAATTTAGAGAAACAAGTAACCATGGAAGAGGCCGCACTCGCAAGTGCTGTTGTTATGGATTCCCCAATTGAAGAGGATAATGAAGATAATGATGAGGCACCGTCACCACAAGAGGTTGGAGTTCTTTACATTGGTAACGCTGGAATGAATAATCGACTCAGTCCTTCAATATCTTTTGGAGATTCTGATCTTTTAGGAAGCATCATAAGAACAAGTAAATATAATTATTAATTCAATCTCTTGTAAATCTCCCATCAACCTTTCTAATTATTGTAGATTGTTTACAATTTACTGCATTTTAGTCTCTTATTTTAATTATTTTATCATTTGAATACTTATTATTATCTTTTTGATTGAGTGATTAGCAAATGATTATAAATATTGTCTCTTTTTTATTTTTCTCCCATTCACCACAAACAGATCACGCAATTGAAATTGAACCAGAGCCCAATGATACTACGCCATTAGTATCTCCCTCGAAACACAGTATTTACTCATCCAGTTCATCATCTTCATCATCTAGACGACATCCTCTTGAACGTCAAGGTATAATTGAACCATCTGAATCAATTGTATGATCAACTAACTGCAAACAATTGTCTCAATTAATAATTTGTTAAACGTTCGCTGCTCATTTGGTATTCCAGAGAAACACATTACCATCTTTGCCGATATATTTGCTTATATATCCAATCTGCTTAACAGAACAATACTTTGCCTAGTATTCAATCAACATGATCTTATTCTCAACCAATTAAGGTTCATTTATTTAGTTTTCTCACCATTAGAACATTTATTTCGATACTTTTAACCTTCCCTTCAGATAATTACCTTACCTTAATTTCCTTAGGCTATTTTAATCTATCGAAAACTTTTTTCGTCGCTTTTTTTTGTTGATTGCTGCCAAATTGCGTCCAAATTGTTTCCTTTTTTTTTGTAAATTTATATTCGTATTGCGAATCAATGTTCAAAATGTCATCTATTATTATTATTACCTTTAGTCTTTCCAGATACTAATATTATTCAAGTCACAACAACAACAACAACAACTAATAGTTAACTGAAACCGTATTAATGATGATGAATCTCAATCAACTAATTATTTAGATACAAAAATCCTCGTTACACTTTGAATAACCGTTAACACAAAGAAAAGCACTGATCTTAAATTTTAATCTAATCAACAACATGTTTTACAACAATCAACAAATCATCAGATTATTTTTCAATTGTCTAAATAATGGTTACAATTAACCATTCAAATCTAATCTCACCAATTATTATTACTTTATCAATTCAAGACAATGTATTTTTTGTTCATACGTATTCATTGTTATATTAATCCAGTTGTCATATTTATATAATTCATAGGTAAATGTTTTATTTATTATTATTGTTACATGGAAATGCTTAATTAATTATTGTTTAATTTATCTGTTAAATTTTTTCTATACTTAATTAATTGTTTTAATTATGATTAATATATAATGTGAATCTTTTTTTTGCTTAATCGTCTTTTTCTTTGCCGATTGAGACGCTGTTTTGTTATTGAAAATGTGTCAAGAACAAAATAAAACAATTAAAGTTAATTCACTAATCAATTTATCTCAATTACTACCTCCAGGTAAACCAGAACTGTCAGTAAAGTTTTACACTTCGGAATTATAATCAACAACAATTAACTGATCACTTGGAGCAAAGGGTTAATAAGAAATAAATATTTACACAGAATAAAAAATCAACCCTTTAATTGTATTTGATTGCTGATTGTTATCAAATCAATAATTCGGATAACCATAAAGATAACAATTAACCACTGATCTCAATGATTAACTTAAATTGTGCTTTAATGATCATCAATTGACTATCAACAATTAGTTAATGTTAAACTCTAGCGTCTAGACTTTTGATTTGTTAAAACATCAATTGATTTAATTAGGGTGAAAATTAACTTTTCTTGATTACAATTAGGTTGGTAAATTGTTGATATTTTGTAACTTTTGTTTATTTAATATAAATCCAATGTAATTAAAACACTAAAATTTGTTTTCTTATCAATTTAAAAGTTGATTGTTGATCATTTATCTTAATTGTCGATGTTTTTTTATGCTGATTAATGAAGGTAAACATTAATTAGTTTGATTGGTTTTAATTAGCTTTATATATGGTTCACGCTGAATAACAATTGATTGTTGTTACTACGATTTAATTAAATTTTATCTAATAAGTTAATTATTGCCGATGATAGGAAGATAATTAACTTAATTGTGATACATATTTTACAAGTCTTTACTTGGAAATGATAATAAATTTTGACTGATAATCAATTGTTTATGACTGAAGATACAATTGATGGAAGGGTAAAAGTTTAATTGTAACAATTAAAGTATTGATTTGCTTATTGGTTTTTTAACAGGAAACTTTGGCCAATTAGGATCAGAAATATTAATTATCGGTTTCAACGGAATCAAATTAAATATGAAATGTTCAGGAAACGCTGCTGATGTTGTACTGATTGTGTTTAGAGTTGTTGATTTAATTGTGGTTGAATCCGATGGTTTAACTGTTGATGACGATGAAATCTGAATTGGGATTAAATTGTGTCAATTAATTGATTGGATTGGGATTAAAATAGATTAGCATTTACCTGATTAGGAGCAAAATTAAAACCATAATCCTCTTCCCATGGCAATGGACTTGAAATGATTTGTTTAATTGTTGTTGGTAAAGTTGTTGATGATGAAGATGGTTGATTAATTATTACTGAGGGTTGGATTGAATTAGTAGTTGATTTAATTGTCGTTGTTGTGAAATATTGCCAAGAGTCCTCTTCCCATGGAAGTAAACTAATTGTTGATTGATTAACTTGATTCTTTTGATTTAGTCCATTTTGAAATAACAATTTAATTGGAGGATCAATTGATTGATCTGTTTCATTTAATTTGAATCGTGAATCAATATGATAATTTGATTGGCGAGGAACAGCTGATTGTTGGAATCGATTATCTTTAAATTGATTTAAATAATCTAAAGCCATTGGTGATGTTTGATTAACCGTAATCACAATTAAAAAAAGAGATGAAACAATTAACTTCATTTTGAGATTTGATCCAATTTGTGGTCAACAGTTAACTAACAATCAAACTCATTAAACATGATCATCAAACTAATTGTAAACAAAGTAAATTGAAAATAAATTGTCATTGTTTTTTTTAATTATCAATGATTGTTAAGTTATTTACTTTAAATTGTTAATCATCATCAAGGATTGATAACCTTAGAGTCAAACTAATGGTGATCTTGAACAATCAATCAAATTTAATTGTGGTTCTATTGATTAAATTTTGCATCAAGCTCTTAATTAATTTAGTCAAGTAAATATCTCGAAAATGAAAACAATTGGAAAAACTTTTTAAATCAACTACCGGACATTAGCTCACAACAATCAATAGAAATGATTAAGTTGATTGCTATTTATGAGGAACTGGTTTTACTGATTACGTTGCTAATCAAGTGACCATTTGATACTATTTTTATCAACTCGATTGAGGTCAGAATCTATTTTTTAATTCTCATTCTCATCGAGAAGCTGAAAAGGTCAACGTTGATCGTTTTAATTTACAATTTGTGTCAACAATTAAATCAACCATGGATTCTAAGACAATCAGTGAAACAATTAACTCCCTTAGGAAAGTGTTTAATTCTGGTAAAACGTTGGACATTAACTTCCGACGGAAACAATTACAAGGAATCAAATTAATGATGGAGGAAAATGAATCTTTATTTGTACAATCGCTTAATTGTGATTTAAGGAAACCCAAATTTGAAGCAATTATGATTGAAACTGATTACATACTTAATGATGTTCGAGGTATGTTATTTAATTTAGATTCTTATGTTAAACCAACTCCAGTGTCTAAAAATTTGGCCTTAACCTTTGACGACGCTTTCACGACCCCTGAACCTTATGGGTTGGTTTTAATCATTGGAACCTGGAACTATCCTTTAATTGTTTGTCTGAGTCCGTTAATCGGTGCAATTGCTGCGGGTAATGTTGCCATAATTAAACCTTCCGAAATCGCCCCGGCCACAGCTGATCTGTTTGCTAAATTGTTGCCACAATATATTGACAGGGTAAATTGTGTTTACTACTTAATTAATTATTAGATTATTGTTTTTACCTTGATTTTTTCCACTTTTGATTAGGATTGTTACCGAGTAATTAACGGAGATGCTGTTGTTAATCAGTCTCTTTTGAGGGAAAAATTTGATTACATTTTTTTCACTGGAAGTCAACCGGTTGGTCGCAAAGTTTACGCATCGGCGGTTGATCATTTTACTCCGGTCACTTTGGAATTGGGTGGAAAAAGTCCAGTTTATATCGACGATTCGGTAATCGATGAAGATTATTGTTTCCGTCGTTTGTTATGGGCTAAATTGATTAACGCAGGTCAAACCTGTGTAGCTCCTGATTACGTTATGTGCTCTTCTCAGGTCGCTGAGCGATTCATTGAGTCGGCAAAGAAAATTTTGCGAAAATTTTACGGCCCTAACGGTAAAGAATCACCTGATTTAACTCGAATCATTAATGAAAATCATTTTCGTCGATTGATTAACTTACTCCAATCGTCTAAAGGGACAATTGCTCTTGGTGGTTCCTATGATCAAGCTGAGCGTTACATTGAACCAACAATTGTCGTTAATTGTTCACTTGATGATCCTTTGATGAAGGAAGAAATTTTCGGCCCCATTTTACCGATAGTCATTGTGTCCAATGTCGAAGAGGCAATTAAGATAATCAATTCTCGATCCAAACCATTAACACTTTACGTTTTCTCAAAGAATCGAAAGTTAATCAATAAAGTTTCACGGGAAACTTCCAGTGGATCAGTTTGTGCCAACGATGCACTCGTACATCTAAGTATCGATTCGTTACCTTTCGGTGGTGTCGGTGAAAGTGGCCTGGGTGTTTACCATGGAAAATCAACTTTCGACACTTTTTCTCATCATAAATCGGTTCTAATCCGAGGTTACAATCCGATACTCGAATGGGTCGCAAGTAAACGTTATCCACCTTATTCAGAATCTAATTTACGACGATTACTAAGAGTAATTAAGAAGAGACAATTTATTCCAATTGATTCTGATTGGATAATTTTCTTTGTTTTCTTTCTCGGTGCTTGGTCATTTTATGTTCTGAATGGACTAATCAAATACTTCTCTTCGTAATCAATTTAATTGTAATCAAATAAAGTGACATTGTGCTTGTTTACCTTGATTGTAGTGAGAAATAATTAATAATCGTTGCCAATGATAATTGATTGTTCAAATGATTATTAACCATGGCCGAGCTTCAGAGACCATGTAACTGTTTTTTCAATGATCTAATTGATTAAAGAAAATGTTGAATAAAGTGAAACAATTAAGAATGAGTGTCAGTGATAACAATTAACTTTGTTGATTAAAGTTTTATTAATAACTTTCTAAGATTGATACTAATGTTTACAATGGAAATGAAAGTTAATTCATCTGACTCATGATCATAAAACTAAATTAGTTGACGTCAATAACTGTAATCACTTAAATTGTGATCAAGTTCATCAGTGATTAAGTTTATTTTTCTAAATTGTCCAAAAATCAACAATAAACCAAGGTTATCAATGTTGAACAATTAACAATTGTCGAGCTGAACTTTTGGATTGTGAACAAAATTAAGGAAAAAATCAACAATTTACTCTTACAATTAAAGATTAACATTTACCAATGTAATTAATTAAGCTAATAAATGTTAATTGTTATTAATAATAATCATGCGAACAGTTAATTCATTTGAATTTACTAAATTTTTTTGCCGATCCCACTGACTTACAATAACGATTAGCTAATCTAAATTAACGTTGACATAATGATTTTAATCAGTGTTAGATTTATAAAACAAATTTAATCATTTGATTAATCAATTAGAAAATTAAAGCGACAATTTAATCAACAAGTTAATGATAATAAAATTGATCAATTCATTTGTCTTAAGGTAACATCCAAAATCATAAAGATATTAATCTACGATGGTTAATGTTTAATTTTTCCGATGTTAATTAATCTTGATTACAAGTGATAATTAGTTGATTATTATCATTGGTATTATGACAATAATTAAATATGGGGAATTTAATTGTCACCAAAGAAAATCGAGTAATAATCAAATTATATAAGTATAAAAGGTATGAAAATATGGATTCATCTTCAGTTAGAATCAGTTGATTGTTCAAGAAAAGTTAAAATCTAAATAGTGAAAAAAAAGTTTAATTGTTGTAGTGATTAAGTAACAATTAAGTGTCGAAGAAAAAATGTTCAAGTTAATTAGTGTTTCCGCTCTTCTTTTGGCCTTATTTCTTGGTTCTTCCAACGGAGCAAGTTTAGGTCTTGTCTCAGGTAAGAATCAAAATCGACAATCTTTTCATCCTCATCATAATCATCATGACAATAAATCACCATCACAATTACCAACATCATCTGAGCCTGGATCAGCTGAGAATGTTGAACAAATTGTTTCTAAATTCAGTTCATGGGCTCGGTCAAGTTTGACCCAAGATGGGCCCAATACAAGTAAGCCCATTGTCACCACAGCAGATACTGGTAAAGGTGGACAATGGGAGGTCAGAAAACACTCATTGCAATCAAATGTTAATAGTAATCAACCACCAGCAAATTTAATGTCCATCATTTTACCCAATTTTCAACCTTTACCGCCGAGTTCTGAATCTTCAATATCGTCATCACCATCATCTTCAACACCGACCAAACAATTACCATTCGTACCTTTTGAAAGTGGGTTTTTTGGGTTCATTGGACAGCCAGATGATTTTTACAAAGGAAATGATGTTTCTAAGAATGGAATTAAAAGTTCATTGGAAAATGTCCAACGACATGAGGATGAGGATGAAGATAAAGAGAAGGATGAGAAAGAGAAAGAGAAACACAAATTAAGATTATTAGAAGAGTCTTCATCATCTTCGTCATCTTCATCTTCAGAGGATGATGATGATTCTAAAGATGAGAAAAAAGTGAATGAAGAAAAAAAATCAAAGAATAAAAGAGACAAGGAGAATAGAGAAGAAGATAGTGATGAAGATGAAGATGAAGACAAAGAAGATGAAGACCAAGATGATAAAAGGAAAGAGAAAGAGAAAGAGAAAGAGAAAGAGAAAGAGAAAGAGAAAGAAGATGAGGATGATGAGAATGAGAATGAGACAAATAAAAAGGCAAAGCAAACAAAAAATGAAGAAAAGAAAGTTTCTGTTGATAAAGATGATCGAAATGATAGTAAGAATGAGTCTAAGAAAATTAAACAAGATGAACTATCAGGTGACTCGAACATGTCCAAACCAAACTCACTCAACGAACAATCAACAAACCAAAATTCGAATAATGACCAATCAGCTGACCAGCAACAAGAAAAAGAGTCTCAACCTGAATCACTTCCAGCTATTGACAAACAAACTGAGAAATCAATGGAACCGATTAATCCTGGCCAACCAGAAACGATCAAAACTGAATCAGAAAGTTCATCACAACTTATCATTGAATCAACACAAAAAGTTCAACCCCAAGCAACTAACACCAAATCGGAAAGTAATTCTGAACCAGAAGCAACTTCCTCACCTCAAGCTGATCAGAAAACACCAATGGCCGATTCAACGCCAAATGAATCAACAATCAGCTCGACTGATTTTAGTTCACCCAAACAACTTGATTTGGTTGATTCAAAGGAAACAATTAGTTCAACTGATTCCACTGATTCTTCACAATCCTCTGTTTCTGGTCAAGTTGATAATCAATCAGTTGCATCAACTGATGAAGTTCATTCAGCATCATCGTCACAATCAAATCAAACCTCTAACCCAATAAGAAATGAACAAACTACAGCTCAAGAAATTGATAATCCATCGGTCGAAACTTTAAATGACCAATCGACACCAATTGGCCCTGAAACATTATCAAAAGATAATATTGATTTAGTTTATCAAGATAACTCGATTGTCAAGACAGAAGCCCAAACTAAGTCTATAGATTATGAAGATAGTAATAAGATTGAAAAATTAACTACATCATCTCCAACAATCAACGCAGAGACCCGATCATCTGAAAGTGGCCTAGAAATACCCTCAACCGCTAATGAAATCAATTCCATAGAACCAGAGTCCAATAAAGTTGAGTCTAAAACAGTAACTGAGACTTCAGTTTCTAACAATCAGCCAGAAATTAACACAATTGAATCATTAACTGAATCAATCACTAGTCTACCTGTTGCCTCAAGCCCTAAATCTGAAACAACTAATGAATCTAATCAAGTTGAGTCTAAGCCAATAATCAATGATTCTAGTGCAAATAATCAACCAGAGATTAACACAGTTGAATCAATCAACTCAAAAGAGCCGATAACAGAGTCAATTACTAACCACCCTGATATTTTAACTTCTGAAACTGAATCACCAATTGAAGTTGTTAATAAAATTGAGCAATCAGATTCCGTTGTAACAAAAGATGAGAAAAGTTCATCAAAAGTTGATCAAAATGAACAAAATTCAGCAACCCGTTCAACTAATGCTGCAATTGAGACAATTTCACCAGAAACTGAAGATGAGATCAAAACTGAATCGGAAACCAAAGCTTCAGTAGTAAACATTCAACCAGAAAACAAAGTAATTAACCAGATAGAAACGATAGAACCAAATGAATTAGTAACTGAATTAGCTACTACTCAAACTACCTTGGATTCTGAAGATGACTCATTAGCAGAATCAACATCAAAAGATGATAAAGTAAATTCAGTTGTGATAAATGATGAATTAGAATCGTCAAAAAATATTAACAACGATAAAGTTGTGGTGACAAGTTCGTCAATTAATGAAATTACTACAGAAAAATTAACTAGTAAAATCGATACTGTCGATGATCAATCAGCAATTAAATCACAAGAACAAGTAGAAACAGCAACTGAATCAGTGAAAATCAAACCCGTTCCCTCAGAGACCGTGAATACAAATTCAGAGACTGAAGATAAAAACGATCAACAAAATAAAATTGAAATAGAATCGAAAAAAGTTGATGATTCAACCACAATTAAATCTACTCTTAATGATGAAATTGAACCATCAGAACTTAATCAAGAACATATCGAGTCTGTAGTAATAACTGAAGCTTCCTCTTCCAATGATCATTCAGAAATCAATACAATCAAACCAATCGAGTCAACAAAAGCCTCTAATCAACCTATTACCTCAACCTATGAAATTGATTCAGTTGATCAAAGTAACTCGATTGTATCAGTTGAGACAGAAGCTCCAACTCATTCAGTAGATGTTGAGGAAAATAGATTTGAACAATCAACTGAATCATCTTCATCAATCAAAGAAGAGACTAAATCATCAAAAGCTGAAAATGATAATTACACAACAAGTGAATCTTTCACTCAGAATGAAATCGAGTCCACAAAATCAGAATCTAATCAAGATCGAGTTGAATCAGAACAAGTGACCGAAGTTTCCAATGATCAACCAGAGATTAAAACACTCGAACCAATTAGCTCATCGACTGAATTAATCTCTAAACCTATTACTTCAGCCCCCGAAACTGAATCAGCTCATATTGATCCAACAACCGAAACGCCAATCGAGGAAATCGAACCGATTGTATCAGAATCTGATCAAGACCGAGTTGCATCAAGGTCCATAACTGAAGCGCCCATTCCCAATGGCCCATCAGAAATCAACACAATTAACCAGAATGAACGAATCGAGCCGATTGAATCAACAACTGACTCAATTGTAGATCAACCTACCAACTCACCCTCGGAAGTTGAGTCACTACAGTCTGATTCAATAACAGAAAATACAGTTTCCAACGATCAACCAGAAATTAGTCCAATCAACCCAATTTCACCAGTTGAATCAATAACTGAATCAATCAATATTCAACCTATTACCTCTGAATCTAATAGGGAATCAATATCTGAATCTATATCCCAACGAGATGCAGTAGAAGACAATTTAGTTACTGAATCCAATTTGAATGAAGTTGATTCACCAACTACTCAAAAAGGTAATTCTCAACGTGGAGCAAGTTAATTGTTAGACGAAAATCCCGATTGAACTAACGGTACTAACGGAAGTGAACAACCGATCCGATGAGTTGTCACCGATTGAAAATAAGTAACAATCGAAACCAAAATCGAAACTAAAAATCTTTAAATCGTTTCCCATTGAAAATGACTCGCCGACTTAACCTCGAACTTTATCCCTCGACCAATGAAAAGAAATCGCAATTTAATCGTAAAATTATTCGAAACCCCGTCTTTTGATTGCTCGAAAAGCAAAACTTTCTAATCACCGAATCTCGAGTTATTCAATTATCTTCCATTGTCTAAACGATCAAATTGATACCGAATCAATAGTAATGAGTGATGATGATTTTGATTCCGATTCAAATCTCTCGCACATAAATGATGACGTTGATGAGAGTGATCAATGCGAATATTAATTAATCATTTGACTTTAATTCTAATACATTTATTTTGTTTCGATTTAGTTGGCGAAACTGATAAACCATTGGTTAACGCTGAGGTTCTGAACAGTTTAGAAGTTGAACAAAAACCCGAAGAGTAAGTATTAATAATTAGAGTGACGATTAAATATTCAAATTTAATTGTTGTCAAAGCTGATGAGTTGCTTTTGATTAACTGTGTTGTCGTTTCATTTTTTGCCACGAAACCAAAATGTTTGTTTGTTTAATCAAATCAATCAAAAGTTTCAGCTGTTTGTAACAATCAACTATTAGTTTTACGTTATTCTGAAAATATAAATGCTACTTTTGATCTGATTGTATTAATTAATAAGATCACAGTTAACTATTAATAGAGTATCAAGCAATTGATTGTTTCAAGTCTTCAAGATATCTTTGGGTAAACAAATACAAAGATGACTAATTGTTGCTTTTGAGGCGTTCATGAAGCTCAACAATTGATTTGCAATTTCATTTGCATTTATTTGCTCTAATTGAATATTCTTGAAATTTTTTCAGCGCTGTTGCCGAGCCCGTTGCCAAATCTGAAGCTCAATCCACTGCTGAGCCCGCTGCCGACTCTGCAGCCAAAAAGGAATCCGACTCAGCCATTCTAACTCCCATTCTAGAACCAGTTGTCGAGGAAGTTGTTGAGCCTGCGGTTGTTGATAAAGTAGACCCAGTTGTTGAAAAAGTCGTGAAACCCGCCGTTGTTAAGCCAGTTGTAAAGCCTGTGGGTGATGCCGTTGTTGAACCCGTTGTGGGTAAACAAGTCATTGATCCAGTTGTCGATAAAGTCGCTGAGCCCGTGGTTAATAAAGTCGAACCAGCACTCAAGCCAGTTGTAGACCCAATCGTAGAACCAGTAGCACAAACACTTGTACCAGCGCCTGGACCCATTGCACCAGAACCAGTCGATCCAAAACCTGTCCCACCACCAGCTCCAGTTGAACCTGAGACCCCCGAACCTGAAGCTGAGAACTCCGAACCCGAAGAACCTGAACAACCAACAACCGTAGCTCCATCACTTTGTGAACAAGCCAAAGCCGCAGGCATTAACCTCCATTACCCTGACGCCGCTGATTGTAACAAGTACTTCCATTGCAGCAACGGAGTAGCTATTCGACAATCATGTCCACCCACTTTGGTCTTTGATAAAACAATCGACACTTGCAATTACCCATCAGCGGTTGATACCAGCGAATGTGCTTACACACCATTACAATGAACAAAATGATTAACACTTTAAAATGATTTAAGAAAAAAAAATTTATTTTGTCTCGCAGATTATATATTCTGTATTTCCCCTTTGAAAATGATTAATTAAAGTAATTAATATATATAATTATTGTCGTAATCAAGAGTAAAACGAAGATTTTATTGATCTTCTCAATCAGTTAACTGTTACTTTAATTGTGATTATTAGTCATTTACTTATTTGAAACGAAGTCGCCCTGCAATAGATATAAATATACATTCAAAATTTTGGTCATTTAAATATTAATGTGAATTTTTGATTAACTAAAAAATCGTCTCAAAAAGTAACTTTGCTTCGATTGAAGTACATACACTAGTTTATGAATAAACTCGATTGAAAGTTTCAAAAGGTGATACCAGGTATTAGGTGTTAACAAATATCATTTTTTGTAGAATGAAAAACAAAGAGAATAGGGAAATAGATAAACAAAAACGTGTGTATGTGCATGTATGAGATACAGAGAAGGAAAGTGTGTGTGAGAGCAAGAGTTGAAAAGCATTACATGCAATTCGATGATAATTGTTGTAAGAGAGAAAGAGAAAGGAAGAGAGAGGAAGAGAGAGAGAGAGAGAGAGAGAAAGAAGAAAGAGATAGAAAGAGATAGAGATAGAAAGAAGAAAGAGAGAAGGAGAGAGGAAGAAAGAAAGGAAGGAAGAAGAGAGATGATAGAGATGATTAAATTTGAGGTTGTCTTTGATCAAAAATAGGCCATTTTAGAGGATCAGCTGTTGTCCGTAATTTGGTTCCGTTCTCATTGAACTCAACCTTGTCTGATCCTCTCAGAGCATCTATGACCAATGCTACTTCGGTAGTTAATGCTTTGACTCGATGAAATGATGCGATTAAAGAAATAGGAAGATAACCTTCTTCGTCCATTTTGCGTCTAAGGAAAAAATCACGTTGCAAGTTTTCTTCACTAAAATAATATTCGATTTGTGATTTGATCGATTTTTTTAACGAATTTGGATCTTGGAGAGCAGCAGTAGTCACGGCTGCCGCATATGGAGAAAAGAAAGCTGCTGTAGGCACAAAGGTAGTTGTTGTTGGAACAATAGCTGGTGAGACAAAGGCTGCAGCCACTGCTGCTTGTGTTGGTGGACCTAAAGTAGGAGAAATTATACTAATATCGAGTTCCCCTTCATTTGAAATAGCTGCATCCGAAATTGGTGAATAATCAACATAATAGGCGATGTCGGCAGGAAAATCTTCATGGTTTGGAGTAATTCGACCTGGATCGTAGCTTCGATTTGAGCGACCACCGCCACGATGCACTGGCCCACCAGACCCTGGGCCCCCATTACCTCCTCCATTATTACCGGAATTCGACTGTACAGGTATTCCACTTCCTCTTCCCCTTCCTCGTCCTCGACGACCTCCACGGAAGCCTTTGTCCGAAGAAGAGGGCACAGAGACTGCGTTAATCTTATTATTATTAAGAGATTGCAGCATGTTGTTATCACCATATTTCTTGCTGCTTGTAGCTCCGCCATTTGGAACTTCTGATGAGCTGTGATTGTTATTAATAGAATCTTTTCGAGAATGATTTCTAGATGATCTTTGTCCGTGTCGCCTTTCCTCTGATTTACTTGTTGGTGGTTCAAATTCTAATGGTCTCCATTTATTCTTAGAACCTTTTTTTGTCCCTTGGGTAGTTGTAGTTGTAGTTGTAGTAGAAGAAGAAGTTGTTGTTGTTGTTGTTGTTGTCGTTGATGATGATACAGATGAATCTATTTCTCCTCCTTTAGAATTATTATTAATATTGTTACTATTAGTCTGCAAAGAAGAAGATGATTTAGCACTAGAAGCACAATCAACACTTTCATCAGTCACACTACTGGACGTAGTTGTTGTTTCCACTGCTTCTCCTGGTGTCGGCCAATCCTTATTATTAAAATTGTACTTAATAGAATTAGAAAACTCACTATCCTTTAGGTCCATAGTGAAGACTTTAAATAATTTAATTTACTTTAAACTTTAATTGATAAAATTAACATGTTTTAATTCACTACCCAGAAACATTGCACTTTTCACTTTAACAACAACAACCAACCTGATCACCAACAAGACCAAAGCCATTCCTCAATCTCACAAGCAGTTGGTTCTCAATCCTTAGCAACCATTTCCATTTCCGATTGGTTGCTAAGGGCGAATGTGCACCACTCAAGTTGAACCGCGAATTTCGAACCTTCCGATGTGATGCAATCATTTATTTTCTTTTCTTTTCTTAACTAATTAATCTTTTCGCATTCCTCCTAATTAGTTAATTGTGAACATTTGTTCTATTTTAAAGAGAACCTGGTCAAGTTGTTTAGATTGAAAATTGTTAACTTTGATTAGAATTTTAATTGTTTCATTTACTTTAATACGAATTGAGAGTTTTTGATTAATCTTTTCTTCTTAATTGTGATAACAAGTGTAAGGAGGGTCTCCCATTTTCTTCACTTTTTTATCCTTTTTAGTTAAGGATCCAACTTTTTTTTGGTAATAGAGTTTGATAGTGGCTATTCAAAAATATCATCGGTTTTTATTTCTGAACTCAAAAACGGGAGATATTTAAGGCCAAAGTGCGCAACTTCGCTATATTGTGGTGACCTGGGGATTTTTCAGATCACTACGATATTCGAGATTTAGATAGACCTTTATAAGACCTATCGATCGATATAGTTAACATTAGTCTGTGATGAATAGTTTCGGTTCTATTCTGGTTCGAAAAATCGGACGATTAGTCCGCGATCGTTGAATACTGATCTTAGGTCAATGAAACTTTTTATAACATACTCTAATATGGGTCTACAAAATGAATTAAAACATTTGCGATATCTATCATATTATAGAAAAGTTTTTAAACGATCCGAGGCTCAAAATACATGTAAAATCCATAGACAAATTCTAAACATGGAAGAACTTTACTTTTCGAATTCTGGTAGATTACTTATGATATAAAACACTATTAAAATGAGTTTGAGTTTTGATTTGCTCGAAATAATGATTTTAAAGCGTTTTTCTGGAACATCTGTTAAATGCAATACAGAAGTTGAAAAGATATGGTTTAAGTGATGAAACTAGTAGAAATGATATTCAACAATCAGATTATATGTTTTTATAATCTATATCATGTTTTAATATTGAATAAACTTTCAAAATGATTTAAATGGGGCTTTCAAGAACTTTATTTTACAATGTATTTGAAAAGCGCTAAAAGTTCTATTGACACACGTGACTAAGTTACTATGGTTACATTGTGACGTACCGATGACCAGTTGAAAAGGAATACCAACTACATCAAAGATTCTTTCCATGTATCACCAGTTCTAAGCTTAGCAAGGTAACAAGCTATCGCTCTCTGGGAATTGAATCTCACTATCTAATGTAACTTCACCAGCAAGTTCAACAAGTTGTCTCATTGTGAGAAGTCCATCTTCGTGAGATCTCATCAGGATATCATCACAGCGTCTAAAGGTAAAACGTTCTTGTATCTTACTGGGAAAGAAAAACATCCTCAATATCCTCAACAGTGAATTGACGAGTCAGATATATTTGATCGATGTTCTCAATATCAGTGAAAAAATCGTGATGCTTACACATCCGAGAGTTTTCTGGGATGTAAATATTTTTTTTCTTCAGCAAATAGATTCGTTCAGTTATAAAAAGATTACGAGCATTCAATCGTCCAGGCCATCGACATCCAAAAATACAAGCAAGTCTTGGACATTCAACTTTTTTGTACTTGTTGAGAACGGTTGGGACCTGTACAAATGGAGTTTCAGGCTCGTCTTCTGACTCTGGAACAGATTCCATGCTGATGTCTCTTCTAGGTGATGGAGCTGGAGGGATTTCAACACGTAAGTCAGATCGCCGACGGAAGGAACCAGAAGAAGTTATTGAAGGTGGTGGCATAAGCTCATGATCACTTTCTGTAACTGATGCAGAGCTTGCAGATGATGAAGCAGATGATGAAGCAGATGATGAAGCAGATGATGAAGCAGATGATGAGGCAGATGATGAAGCAGATGATGAGGCAGATGATGAGGCAGATTCTGAAGCTGATGATTCAGACAAAGGACGAGATGAACTGGAAACTACAACCTGACTTTGAGACTTTTGCTTGAACCAACTGTTGAATTTAGCAAAACAGCTTCGGCAAATAAAGTTTGTCTTAGGGACGGAAGCATCTTTTGCAAGCTCAGCGTGAAGTCTCATGAACTGTTTCAAGTCAGGTCGCTTCACTGTATCAATATTCAACCGCCGTCTGGAACTTATGGATGAATCACAAACACCGCACTTTGATGCCATTTTCAAATATTAAATGAAAGATGAGGCTGTGATACGTAAAAGATGAAAATAAAATAATAATAATAATAGAAAAAATATAGTTAAATCGAAACAATTACATGTAAGAAGAAAAGACTTTGTAAATTTTTTAACGGCCCCTTACAGTCAGCAATTAGGGGACGACAAAATCCTTTGGAAAGGTGAAAGTTTTTTCTCTGTGATCCAAAATTCTAAACAAAATTTCTAACTGTAAATTCTAAGGTATCTTTATAAATCAGTTTCCTTTTGGACCATTAGACTTACATATATATATATATATATAAAAAAAAAAAGTATATCTTGTGTTCAAATAATCAAATCTCTAATTTCTGTGCACCTGAACCTAAATCACTAACAACCCACGTGTTCTGTAACTACCCTCACTCAAACAAACGTCATTAAATCGCCTTTCAATCGCTTTTCAATCGCTTCTCAATCGCCTTGTACCAATCGAAATGTGTGAAAATCAACAAAGAGAACAATTCTCTAACTTCTACACCACCATGCTGGAAGCATATGGCAACCCACAGAACATAGAAAACGTGGCGCCCATGTTGATGATGTATTCTCATGATTTTCTTGTAAACATGGAAAAGATAGGAGTCCAAATCATTGATGACTCTCAAATGAGAGAAGTTAACAATATTCTACCATCAATGATACCTATGATAGAAGAATACATGTCCATTCTAACCAAATCCATAACCACGAAAGCTCTAGAAGGTATTGATCCTGATGAAGATGAAGAAATAACAATTGAACCACCGAAGAAGAGAAAGATAGATCTAAATCAAATAAAGAAAAAACAAACTACTGTTATAACCAAAATCTCTGAGGCCACTGACAAAGTACAACCTGAAAAAAGATTGACGCGAAGTCAAAATACACAACCAGAAGAAGTTGATATTCCACCCTCTCAAAATATACCTTCAGAAAAACCGATTAAACTCTTCTCCATGAATGTAATTCCAACACACAAGAGAATGGTCCCGAAAAATTGGCTCCCGTGGTCAGAACAAACCAGAGATTACAATATTACAATTAAATGTGAGAAGAATCAACGATCGGTTGACATGATAAATCAAATTCTCCTTAAGAGTAAATTGAACATTGGGAATGTGATTAGAGTTTTATGTTTTGAAAACCTCACCAAGATCACAGTTGACAATGAACAAAGCAGAGCCAAAATAACAAGCTACTTCCGAGAAAATTTCAATGAGATGCAGGTCGAAATACCAGTGTGGAAACTTCCTCAAATTAAAGTTGCGGGTCTGAGTAAAAACTATGATCAGACTTGGGAAGACCGAATCAAAGAAATAGCCAAACTGAATAATTTCAAAAAAAAACAAACCTTTAAGTTCATAGAATCTTTTACGGTTGGAAGAAAAGCTGCTGAAATTGTGATAATTGAAATATCACCATCAGTCCGATCAATCATTCAAAATGAAAGAAAAGGAAAAATCTTTGGTGGCCAATATTCACATGATATAGTTGATAAGATTGACGTAAGATCATGTCGTCTATGCAAATGCTATGGTCATGGTTACAAACAGTGCTCGTTGCAAGAAAGATGTTCCAAGTGTGCGGAGAATCATCAAACAAGTGAATGCAAAAGTGAACACTTGAGATGTCCAGCATGTAATCAAGACGGACACATTGCAGGGTCTTTCATGTGTGAAGCATATCGAAAAGCTATAAAAACAGCAATATCAGAGATTGACTTCACATACTCATACATAATCCACTCTCAAAAATACAACTTCTGAGAAATACAAACAATGATAATCAAACAAAATACACCACCAATAAATGAATTATATAATAAATACAGGTGATTCAGATGGAATAGAAAACGCTTTGTAATCATCATTAAAACAGGGTGTAACTCATCATTTTCATCTGCCTTGTATTTGCTAGTCACTAATAAAATCTTTGATAAGAACAATATATTTTGCATTGCTATCTAAATGTAGATATTGGTGCAAAAAGACTGAACATATAGATTAATTATAATTAACATTGATATTCAAAATTGAATATTGGTACAATAGGATCAATTATTAAAATAAATTGGAAGTAACATTAATATTCAAAGGCGAATATTAATACAAAAAGACCGAACATATAAATTAATTATAAATAACATTAATATTCAAAATTGAATAATGATAAAAAAAAAAAAAAAAGATTAAAACCAAATTGAAGCTAACATTAATTGAGTATTAATGCAATAAGATCAATTATTAAAATAAATTGAAAATAACATTAATATTCAAAAACGAATATTGATACAAAAAGAGCGAACATATAAATCAATTAAAATTAACATTGATATTCAAAATTGAATATTAATACGATATGATCAATTATTTAATAGATTCAAATTTACATTAATATTCAGAGGTGAATATTAATACAATATGATCAATTGTTAAATAAATTCAAATTTACTTTAATATTCAAAATTGAATATTAATACAAAAAGACTGAACATATAAATCAAATAGAAATTAACATTAATATTCAAAAACGAATATTAATACAAAAAACCGAACATACAAATCAATCAAATTAACATTAATATTCAAAATTGAATATTAATACAAACAGATCAATTATAAAATAAATAGAATTTACATTAATATTCAGTGAATATTAATACAATATGATCAATAATGAAAATAAATTGAAATTAACATTAATATTCAAAAACGAATATTAATACAAAAAACCGAACATACAAATCAAATAGAAATTTACATTAATATTCAGAA